CCCCCCCCATTCTCAAAAAATAAGCAACTGTGCTTGAGCTCAGTTGGTTGTATTCATCAGATCAATATAGCCAGCAGCCATGTTCTCTTTCACATACTGAATGTTAAAATATTAGTGTGTATCAGATGAATTAATGGATCTTATCATCAAACAACAGAGAAAAACCAGATCATACACTTTAGAGAAAATTCCTCCGACAACATTACATGCATAATTAAGCATAAGATTTCAGTTAAGAGCCGAGAGGTGAATCTCTGAGGATGATCCAAAATAAGACTCATGTCATATTCTATACAGGGTTTTAGCACTTAGCGCTCCGCTTTATAGTTGTTGTCCTAGGATATTAATGACAAAGAGGAAAACCAAGGCGTGACGTTTCTATTTTTTATCATATTCCGTTTCTTTAATTAAACACATTTTATGCACATCACTGAAGAAAGGTCTATAAAAATGGCACGTAAACGTGGAGATTATACTGCACCCTCATTGTGTCTTTGGCTAAAAATTGTCCCCGACTTTGAACTTAATGCTGGCTTTTTTTGTGAAATACCTAAGCATTGATTAATGCATCTGTACTTATCTGAATTTTCTCTGAGTTTTGTTGCATCCCTTTGAATCATCCAAAGCCAGGCTCTTGAAATAACCATTATATGGACCTCTGCTCTCCTAGGGCCAGGCAATGAAAGTGGCTGCATACAAATTAAGTATCAGCGAAGCAAAGGGGGAACACAGTGATTGAAACCACACTTGCATAATCATGCTTTTGGGTAGAAAAATAGCAAGTCATTAATTAAAATGAAAATGTTTAATAAAGCACTGCGCAGGTGTATCAGTTACAGATGAGGGATGGGTGATAGGTAATGAACATTTAAATTATAACTGTGGAGTTAGGACTTTGATCTAATTTATGAAGGAAGGATTAAATCCTGCTGCATTGTTTCAATTATAGGAGGAGCAACAGAGTCAAAGATGCCAGCAGAATCGAGAAAAAGTAATAGCTGAAGTTCCAAACGCTCTGAAGCAAAGCGTAGAACAAGGACCTGGTTTCTACCAGGCATCCAAAAATGGTTACACTGTAGTCAAATAAAGGATATATATTGTCGGTAACACCACTCAAGTTGCTTGTGGTCTTTAAACAATACTCTGCTGATACAGGGGTCAAAGTATGTCAAGAGAATTTCCCCCCACACCACAACATATCCACTAGCAGCCAAAACTGCTGATGTAAGGGTGGATATATCAATGCTTTCATGTTGTCCAAACCACATTCTGGTCCTACATATTAATGTATCACTTTAAACTGAGCCTCACTGGACAAGGTAATGTTTCCCAATCCGCTGTTGCCCAATTTTATAGAGCCCGTGTGAACTATAGTTTTCTGTTCCTCACTGGTATGGCAACCTGTGTGGTCTTCTACGTCTGCGTTAGGGTACGTCATGCTTCATATTCCAAGGTGGTATGCCACAAACCCTGTCTGTAGCAAGTTTTTGTTTGACCGCCGACATAAGCTAAACTAACAGTCTCTCGAACAATTCTTCATAAACTTGACTATCTTAGTGGTTTAGCAATTTCTGATGTGTCGTTCGAATTTAGGTAAGTGGTCTTTACTTCATCTACATTCTTAAATGCATGGAGTTTCTGCTATCTAATTGGGTGATTTGCCATTTGTGCTTAGACAAATATTTTTAATAAATTGGCCAGTTGGTGCATACTGAATTGATAAACAATTTTCTTTTGCCGAGACAGCTCTGTGCATAGTATACATACGAGGAATCTTTGTGGGTCATGAATGGACAAATTTCTCAAAGGTTTTAGCAGAGTGGAACTTGGCTGACAGGAGCTACAATTACTCATATCGACCTATTTAGTATCTAGATTGGTCATTTTGTTATTTATAACTGTTGGAACATCTTCAGTGTCTCAGAGACTGATGCGTGTTCTACATCAAGCACTACAATGTATGTAGTAAAGCCGTGGTTCTCACACTCTGGTACTCAGACTTAACGTAGCCTACTAAGAATACATTTTGGTAGTAATTAATTATATGTTAATTTCAAATAACTTCAGAATGATATCAAAACAATATTGTCAGAGCTGATGGGAAAACAAATGAAACTAATACAGGGGCATACTGAAAAAAATAAAAAGACTTGAAACTAGGACTGAGGTTCATCTTACAACAACCCTAACAACGAAGGAAGGACTTAAATAGATTATTATTGGCCATCAAATGGGCAGACCTAAATCCACATGAGAATTCATGACAGTTCTGGAAAATCTGTGTCGACTGACGTTTACCATCCATTCTGACTGAATTTGAGTTACATTGCCTTGTAGTATGCCTAAATGACTGAACACAAATACATCCCGCTCTTTTCAATCATTCATTTGTTTGCTGTTTTTTTATTCTTTCTCTTTCACCTCACAGTTACCCATGACTATCTGTAGCGAACTCACATCATTCATCCATTGTATGTGCAGGGTGGGTGAAGGTATCGGTGCCTATATCAAGGGATCATTAGGCAATAATGACCTTGGCCATTTCCCAAGTCCATCAAATGGACCTATCACATCATATTCATAAATAAATACATTCAAGATTGTGGTTGTAGTGTGACAATGTTAGAAAAAGTTCAAAGGGAGTGAATACTTTGGTAAAGAACTTGAGCTCTTTAAAGAGTTATTGAGCAAAAGAGGATAATCTCATTCAACATTGCAATTGTATTTTGTACAAAAGGCAATGTTACCAATGAAAGAAAATCTAAATGTTTATCTCTGAATGTTAATATCAATTATTTTAAAATGAACTGAAATGATTTTCCACACAACAGTGGATCTGAAAGCTATATTTTATTATTTTTCCCCTCAAAAATGAGAAACTGCAGATAGTGTATCAAAACTTTGTCTGTATGAAGGAGTTGATTTGTTTTACAGGCTTACATAGATGTCAAATTAACAGCCCAACACTCTCAATCCAGTCTGAATATATTTCACTCTTCTTTCTACATTTAATTGGGGTAATAAATATTACTGCGTTGAAAGTTATACACAGTGATGGCAGTGTTTTGTTTACATTCATTAAACAATATCTTATCATGTGAAGCATGCTGATGAAGTTCAATAATTATGCTAACAGGGTTTGTTGTTGTGTTTAAATTAATTATGTCTGGAAATAAATTCATTGTCATTGCATTGGTATGTGTTTAATAGCCAAATAAATCTTACCTTTTTGGTGTCCCACTGTGTCACATTGGGAAGCAGAATAATTGTCAAAACCAAAATTAATGAAAATATTCAGCATTAAGAATGTCACATTAATTTTACAAAGCATTATGCAAGCCCACAGGGTGTAGCATAAACCTGTGGAAAAAGAATGACTAAGTTATTTTGGGGCAGGGGAAAAACAACTTCTCTTGATTTGTGAAACAATTTTTGTGAAATAAATTAGGGTGAAGAGCTTGCTAATTTCCAAATGAAACAGAACAGAGGTGCTGCTCCTCCTGTTTTGCGGTGGTTCGAACATTTGATAAGTACATCGTCAGAACGGGATGTTTTGCACACAGTAGACCTACAAGGCAGACTGAGGCATCCCTAGAGAAATGGTACCTTTAGGGATATTATGAATGCTTTGGAGTCTTCCCAAAAGAGTTGGGGATAATTGAGTTCTCAGTATGTTTACCGCTGTCTCCACGACTGGGTTCATCATAGTACCAAAACCTGCATGAATGAATTATTAGTAAAAGGTTTAACTGGAAAGAAAGTGTGTATTTGACTAGTGAGAGTTTGAAACTGTTGATTTAATGTCTATAAAAATGTCTTTTTATGATTAAACTATAATCCAAAAACTTAAAAAAAAAAAAAAAAGGAATACTCCAAGCAACAAATGTAGCACCCAGTACAAGTAGCTAGATATTAACCCCCTGTTGTTGTCAAGGTCCTCTGGGGGGGGCCCTGGGAATGTTAGTACTACCACTACTAAGCAATTACTGGTTAACAGGAGAACAATTTTGATCTTTTGTATTTATTTGTGATTTTTTTAATTATGGCAGTGCCTCTAAGAAATAAAAATAGTGAAAAGAATAATGAATTTCAGCTTTTGATTTTTTTAATTATGGCAGTGCCTCTGAGACATAAAAATAGTGAAAAGAATAATGAATTTCAGCTTTTAACCTTATGTACACTAAATTAAGACAACTAAAATGTTTAACGTCAAAAAAGAAAATTGTAAATAAAATATATTAGGACGTACAATAAAAATTAGAAACGATTTACAATGTGTTTCAACACAGGGGAAAGATGAAGGTATTAGTAATACAAACTAAAAAAATAAAAAGAATGAAAAACAGAATATCACATTTCGACAAGTTAATTCCCCTTCAAATTCAGTTCAGAACTTGACCATTAAAATAATAGTATTTTACTGAAATAAAGAAAAACCAGTTGCAGGCCTGACATGCGCCTTGTGTTTGTCATGATCAAAAACACAAATGGTCAAGTCACTTGAACCCAAGCAGAAAATAAATGCACATGTTTTAGTTTACTCACAAATCCTTTGGAGTTTGCTTAGATGCGAGAGATGGATGAGGCCTTATCCGTGACCATGCAGGTCCCACTCCACAGCCGAGTTGGAATTCACTTCACATCACAGGCCACATGAAGTTCACTGGGAAAATTCGTCCATTCAACCCACAGCAGAAGTGTCCAGAGAATTACTTTCGATCTGTGCGATAAAGGTCTTCGTGTAACTTCATAAGTCTGGCTAAGAAGAGTAAACACTATGTACAGTCTACAATAGCTCGCGTAAAAAATTGCTAATGCTAACTCGCGATTAGCGGTATGCACTTCTAGCATTTCATTTAAGCACAGAAATCATTTACATCATGTACTCACACATCCGAAGGCTAGACACTCCAAAACAAGACTGTAGACTACATCCACAGGTGTTTTAATGCCATTTCCCGCTTAGTTAGCATGGCAGTCGAATCTAGCAGGCTCAGATGACCTTTCACTTGCCCCACTTAGGTCCCGCCCTCAAATATATGATTGGATATTCGGTTTACATCAACCAACGAAATAGAAGAAAATGCAAGATTGACAGCATAACATGTTAGGTTGTAAACAGAACACATTTTTTTCGATTTACGTTTCAAACTAACTTGCGGCAAATAAACTGTATTTTAACCAAAATAAAAGACAAAACCGTTCATGGCTTAAATCATTTTTAAAACTATGAAAAATTAGTAAGTATTAAGTTAACTAGATTTTATGGTGCATTTAACACAAGTTGCAGCTTGTGTGTTACTACTTTTAATAGTAGTGTATTTATATTTTAGCCTCATTTATCTGCAATTAATATTTTAGACAGGTCTACAAAGACAAAAGATCTGATGACATAAACATTTCAGTTCAATTGAAACAAAATTGAACCTTTGTTGATCCCAAAGGTGAATTGTTAAATGAATAAAAGAAAGCAATTTAGCTATTTAGTCACAATAGTACATGCAATGTTTGGTAAGCACCAAACACTTCACGTCATCAGAAACATACTATCTCCACTTTGAGCCATGGTGGTGACAGCATTATGCTCCAAGGATGCTTTTCAGCAGCAGGCGATGAAAGAATTGCAAAAAGTCTTCTCAATAAAAAAAACATATTGATAAATCCTGACTGATAATTTGATCCAGTTTTTCATAAGACTAAAATATGGGAGATTTATTTTCTACACAGAAACTACACAGAAATGGTTAAAAGAAAGTGAAACAGATGTTCTGGAGTGCTCAAATCAAAGGCCCGATTCTCAATGGTATGGAGTATTTGAGTCTGGACTTAAAAAGAATTGTTCATACTTGCTCCCCAAGCAACCTGACAGAGGTACACCTGTTTTGTAGGGAGGAAAAGAAATAATTGAGACATACTCACACAAACTCAGTGCTGTGATTGAAGCAGAAAGAGCATCCAGGTGCACTAAAGGAGGTGGATATTTATGTAGTAATTTAGTGTGCCTTTTACACTAAATTAAAAGATACACTTTTAATTTAGTGTACCTCTGAGCAACACCCTCAGCCAATCTGAGGGTGTTGCTTTGGTTGTGACATTGAATAATGCATTTTTCACCAAATACATTATTCTAAGTTCCATAAAGTAAGGCATTTAGAAGAAAGCGCATGAGGTACCTGTTCAACTGCTGGATATAAGTGATGTCTAGCCAGATCAAATTGGAACAGCTTAATTTAGACATGTAGACATAGCAGAGACAACTTATTAAAGTTCAACCCAAGCATCAAACTGGGAGAGAAGGGAAACGGCATCAGTAGCCCTCAAAGCAAAGCTATTTGACTGTCAGTAGACAGCAGGGGGACCTTGCCCTTACATCCCCATTCTCCACATGCCTTGTCTGCTTCATTCTACAATTGTGCTTTCATATAGGCAACAGTATTTAAGTCTCAAATGTCATCGTCATGACAGGGTGTGTTGCAAAATTTGACGTGTTTCATTTTTTTCTTGTGAGATTCTGCAGAGGGGTAAGTGTCTCAGCTGGCCACCGTTTGTTATCTCTGGCGCGCTGCCAGCATGATACAGTGCTCTGCACTTGGCTGATTTCATCACATTACCGGCCGACACACTTTTAGTACGAAAGGGTAAATTAGCGGATACAGCCAGCCACTAAGTGTCTTCTTACACCAGGCTTCACTTGCAGTGGACAGGGTGTTGCACAGATTGACTTCTGGAAAAATTCTACTACCTTCTTGGATTAGTTTACAACCCTCAGTAAACCCACGCACTGAACCAGCTGAAGTTTGGTTGTGACACTGAGGTCCTGAGTATACTGTCATCACTGGTTTGCCTTAGTTGTTGTGGAAAGCAAATAACTGTCATTGTCACAGAGTTCTTAAAATGATTACAATGGCTAATTTGACTATTATATTCTAAAAATAAATAAAGTTGTAAGAACCAATTGAAAACATAGGAAATTGCAATGCAGGAATACAACTGCACTCTATGCACCATGAGTTCTTGGCTTTACAAATATTTCTAAATCTGTGTTTTGTACTACAGTATTTTGCAATTTTAACAAGAAATATGTCACCTTTATCTGGTATGTGCATCACAGAAACATCATGTTATAACTGTCATGAAATGATAACACAGAAATGTGAGAGATATTTATTAAATGCAATGACAATGTAAGTCTGAGTAGTGTATAATCATATTTTCAAATTAAGTCTGAGCTGACAAGGAGCAAATAATAAGAATCTGCTCAATGCACCATTTTAACAACCTCCAGGGGCAGCATTGAGTACAGTATGCAGTGACAGTTACTATGCATGACCACATAAATACATCCATCGCTTAAAATGTATATCATAAAAATTCTTTCCCTGTGGTTTAAAAATTTAACACTGATGATCCATGTTTCAGCCATGCAGATTTTGTATCTAACACATAATTAATGTAAATTAATTACAAAATGTATAATATGCTGCATAGGATTTGAAACGCTTTGTCCACCGCAATTGTTTACATTTAATAAGATGATACAATAGTTTTTGCTTTGTTCATGTTGGACCACAAACGGAACTAGCAGGCAGGTGTTCATCAGAACAGACCTAAAGTCTAAAATGACTCGGCGCCACAATTGTCCCTGAATAAAGGGCAAAGGGTGTCTTAACACAGTGAGATTTACCCATGGAGGTCTGTGGCTCAGGTGGCAAACGTGTTTACAGATAGCTGTTAGCATCCTTAACCCATCAAAGCCTTTTTATTTCACCTATGTTCCTGTAGGTGTGAGTGTTCAAGGGTTAAATGTTGGTGAACGAACCAGCAGTATTATTAAATGTTGTGTAACTAGTAAGCAACAAACGCTGCATTCATGCAGTCAGTTTAGTCAGCTAGAAATGCCTGTATTTTTTAAGTTACCAAACAAGCATAGAAGCAATTATTTAAAACCAAAGTAGGGGTTAAGTAGGTGTTTCATAACAGACATGTTTAAAATATTGAAGAAAGTCCAGATCGTACAAGTACAAACAATAACGGAAACCAGAAGAAGGAAAACCTTGGGAGAAAGACAAAGCATGAGAGCACACCTTAAGATCCGATGATGAGTGAGAGAAACATACCTGTTTAAAAATGCAGAGGAATGTTGTAATCAATTGACCTGGGAATCAGGTAAGTTCAATAAACAGCATTGCAGATGAGTGGGGATATAAACTATAGAGCTGAGGGGAAGTAAATAATGAACACTGAATGAATACAAAGGGGAACTAAATAAAGCACAAAAGAATCAGGAATGAAAAAGTTTAAGACTTCCTCCAAAATACTAACTAAAACAAAAACAACAGAACAGAAGTAAGGTTCATGGCTAAAGCACAAGAGTGAACAAAATACAGAACATTATGTTACTGTATGCCAATACCAGAACACAATCATAGTATTAGGATTATGATAAAAATAATTATTTAATCTCCCTTTGTGATCAATAAAGTATTTTTGAATTTGAATTGTGTCAGTGAAACTAATCTGTTCGGATTAAAAATGAAAGTGTTTCCAAAGAAATTGTGGAATTAAAATTTGGAAAAACTATCATGCCTAGCTACTCCCAATCCAATCCCAGGCCTTTATGAAAGCGTGTTTTTCCAGAACCTCTACACATGCAATCCTCAGCCTCTCATTTTCCTCTTTTTAATAATATCTTTTGGAGTTCATTGTGCCCCAGAAGTCTAATTATTGGATCCTGCCGACAGGAGCCCACCACTCCGACTGCAGCCCGAGCTTCCACACAAACAACACCCCACCCACCAAACCCAGCCCATCCAGTCCACTTTATTTACATCTGCGTATGTGGCAAAATGTAATATTGTGATGAATATTGTGTGTATAAGGTGCATTGAAATTGGGGTTGTGGCTGAGGTGTGTGCAGGTAAGGAATAAGGGAGATTCTGACAGAATTGTCTGTAGTGCATTAAAATTCCAGTTCAGGATGGGATCAAAGTAGCAGGGGGCTAGGCACTGCATGGTGCAACGCCCATCATTCCCTCGATTGCAGACTCTACTGAAGTGTGATGTTACATAAGTTAGGGAGGAGGGTGTGACCACCAAGGCAGTGGTATGAGGCACTGCATGGTGCAACGCCCACCATCCCACAACTGCAGACCCTACAGAAGTGTAGTACGAGTCCCCTCTCAATGTATAGCCTTTTAAATCACTACAAACTCTCAAAATTATGTATTTATTTATTGCCCATTCCTCTTTTATTCAATTACATTGTTGGCCTTGTTATCTGTGTAAGACTCAACATTTTGTTTAGTACTTACCATTCCACTCAGGACTTGTCCATCTTAGGCTTGATACTTCAATGAAAAGACTTGTAACTTACAAAACATTGATATGGTCCCATATCTGGACCTTTTGTCTATCCTTAAGGTGCAGGTGTGGGGTAACTACACTGGTAACTATGGTGTAATTTTATGCACACAATTCTGAATTGCCATAATTTGCTCTGACATTATAGTTGAGTACAATTGTCACTTCAGCTAAACTGCTTTATTATTATTACTGTAGCAGTTTTTACAGTCTGCATCATGTTGATATCACTAAGTTTACAATGCTCCATTAGTAAGCAGTTATAAAGACCCATTTGTTAAAGATTAATTGCTGACTTAATATTTTTAAAATACAAAAGTCATTTTTCTGCTCTCTGCTGACTCACTAAAAGGTTGAGAAGCACATCAATTGCATTGCAAATTTTTTTATATTGCACTGAGAGTCACTGAATAATTTCTTGAGATCCAGGTCTCCCTGACACAAATCATCGTTCTATAATTCCTAATTAATTTCTATCCTATCACAGAATTCTGGATTGAGATTCTTGAATCTGAATGTTACACTGGAGTACATTATTTTTAAAAGGTGAAACGAACATGTCGAAATGGTGTTTGCTTCTCTTGTATATTTGATCTATTGGTTTGGTGGCATTGTATCGAAATATTGTATTGGCCAAAAAGCAGAGGTACCTAACTGCTGGATTCTTTGATCCTATGACTA